TTCATGTTTGTGTCACACATTGTTCATGTTTGTATCACACATTGTTCATGTTTGTGTCACACATTGTTTATGTTTGTGCCATACATTGTTCATGTTTGTGTCAAACATTGTTCATGTTTGTGTCACACATTGTTCATGTTTGTGTCACACATTGCTCATGTTTGTGTCACACATTGTTCATGTTTGTGTCACACATTGTTCATGTTTGTGTCACACATTGTTCATGTTTGTATTATGCATTATTCATGTTTGTGTCACACATTGTTCATGTTTGTGTCATACAATGAATGCTATATGTTTTAATGTTAGTGTTAGATTCAAGTAATGTTGTTTTATATATCATTATCATAAGTGTTACACTTTTTAAGAGAGTTGCACTTAAATAATGTAGATGTTATTTTATTGCATAATACGTATATTGGTGGTTTATAAAATGGCTATGTGTATCTTACAAATGCTTTTAGGATTTATTTCTCTTATATGTAATGGCGGGCTGACATAAATATTGTATTCAATACAATCAATATTTTATATTGTTAGCGAATTGGTAGAAATGGAAATTCAAACTACATCAATAATCTTTGGAATATTTTTATATATATAGACCTGGATTTGCCCTACATGGGTTAAAAAAGCTATCATTTATTAGCTATATTTATTAACCTTAAAATAGAGGTATTGCATTAATGTTAATTGGGACATAGGTGTTACAGTTTGCTTGGATATACATGTATGTTGTTACATTTATCTACTATGTATGTTCACACACTAAAGCAGTAGAAATCAATAGAGAGTGAATTTCTGGAGCTAATCTCTCTGAATAGTATGCCATTTGTTCCAATATATTAGCTGAAAAAAATGTCTTGTAGATATAAAAATTATTGAAGATACAACATGCAGGATTTTCCATTGTCAGATCACTTGAAAATAAAAGCATATCATGAAAATAAAAAAATAAGAAAATGAAATAAAGTAAAGTAAAAAATAAGTAAACAAAAGACTTTGTCAGCCCTTTAAATAATACAGGTATTACATAGTTCTTAAATGTCAATGTTACTGTTACAGCATACCCTATTACAGTTGATTACGCCAGACAACACGTCATAGAAACCTTCCATTATTCAAATTGGGTGTATTTCATATATATTGCCTGTTCCATTACAGCTCCCCACTGTAACTGTCTTGACTAAATGACTGATGTCTTTACGTATCTAGTTGACGTGTTTCAGTTTTATGACAAAAATTTGTACTTTTTACTTAGAGGGGGACTGACATGTCTTGACGTATCTGGTTGACGTGTTTCAGTTCTATGACAAAAATTTGCACTTTTTATTTAGAGGGGACTGACATGTCTTGACGTATCTGGTTGACGTGTTTCAGTTCTATGACAAAAATTTGCACTTTTTATTTAGAGGGGACTGACATGTCTTGACGTATCTGGTTGACGTGTTTCAGTTCTATGACAAAAATTTGCACTTTTTATTTAGAGGGGACTGACATGTCTTGATGTATCTGGTTGACGTGTTTCAGTTCTATGACAAAAATTTGTACTTTTTACTTAGAGGGAACTGACATGTCTTGACGTATCTGGTTGACGTGTTTCAGTTCTATGACAAAAATTTGTACTTTTTACTTAGAGGGAGGTTGAAATGCAATATAAGGTTGGAAATAAAGAGCACAACCTCATATTTCATCTTTGATTACTTTTGCTTAGACTTAAATGAACAAGAAGGTTTATACTGTAATCTGGGGAAATATTAATAGTATTTATAGCATGTAGTTTGTTCACCCTTTCTTTGGCAGATTCTATCTTCTGCATTGTGTTCTATGTGTGCTACAATAAGCTCTGTAAATCCAAGGTGTAGCAATTAATCATAAGAAAGACAAGGAAGTCATTTTCTATGATACTAGAGATCAATTACAAGTAACACTAAATACAAGTGGGTGGGAGGTAATGTGGTAAATGTGCATGCTGAAGATCCACTGTGTGTTTAACAGTAATTATGCTTATTCCAAATCCTCATTCTGCTAAGCTATTGTAGGAAACCTTATTTCCATGTATTTAACAGACAGTTCGGTGTTTTTTGTTAGTCTTCAGTATTTGATCAGATGTAAGTCAATTCTTTTTTTGGAAAATTAGGATAGAAAGGGAAACAACAATGTTTTCAAACTCAGTATCCCTTCTACTTCACATAAGTTCAAAAATTGAAATAAACGCAAACTTGAAAAATACTAGTATTTTAAACTACATGTACCTCATAATAAGCAATGCTATGATAATTGTTAAACTAATAACAAAGATGTTTTCAAACTCAGTATCCCTTCTTCTTCACATAAGTTCAAAAATTGATATAAACGCAAACTTGAAAAATATTTTAAACTACCTCATAATAAGCAATGCCATGATAATTGTTAAACTAATAACAAAGATGTTTTCAAACTCAGTATCCCTTCTACGTTCACATAAGTTCAAAAATTGATATAAATGCAAACTTGAAAAATATTTTAAACTACCTCATAATAAGCAATGCTATGATAATTGTTAAACTAATAACAAAGATGTTTTCAAACTCAGTATCCCTTCTACGTTCACATAAGTTCAAAAATTGATATAAATCCAAACTTGAAAAATATTTTAAACTACCTCATAATAAGCAATGCTATGATAATTGTTAAACTAATAACAAAGATGTTTTCAAACTCAGTATCCCTTCTACTTCACATAAGTTCATAAATTGAAATAAACGCCAACTTGAAAAATATTTTTTTAACTACCTCATAGTAAGCAATGCCATGATAACTGTTTAACTAATAATATTATCTACCATTTATATTAATTTCTATTTATAGTAAAAAAGTAATAAAAATAATGTTAATTTCTCCAGACAACATATATTTTGAATCAATATACAAATTATATATGAATGCATGTATATTATTTGTATATATTATTAATATCGACATGTAATTATGTTTTACATCTCCAAATGCGAATAATACCCAAGGGTACCCTTGATTATATCTACTCGCAGGAAATTTCTCTTTAACAATGTCCCCTCGATAAGGCTCAAAATGATAAACATCAAACCCTAACTTTGTATACCCTGTATGCAGAGTCTAGTTATAAACTACCCTCTGCCTAGTATAGACTATATTACAGTTTAGCAGTCCTGCCTCAAAGATTGGTGCCTGCACAGTCAAAGTAATAAATCATTTCAAATCTACAACGCTGACCCTTTCTCAACCAATCAGCGAAGTGGAAGGAACACATGCTGAATAAGTGCTCATTAACTATCCCGTTATGTCAGAGGAAATGACCATGTAGAAAGTTGTCCATATTTCAACAACGAACTCTGATAGACTCGATGAGATCAGAGATTAATTGTAAAGTGAAAGAGTGAAGATGAAACTCTCTTTTAAGAAGTGAAGTCGTATGAATGCAAAGGGTAAACTATGTGAAATATTTACCAAAAGTTAAGTTTCTATGTGAGAGTCTCCCTAAGAATCCATTAAGACGTGCCACACCTAATTGTATCAAATAGGGCTCAAAAACATACATACATAATTGTTTTTAAAAATGTAATATTTGTAGTTCAGATCTATAGAATAACAGAAAACCATATTTGAGAAAACATTAAATGCAATTACAAATGAATAATTGATGTTTAAAGTATTATACTTCGAGTCTGCATTTTTCTCACGAGACAAGAAATGATGAATCGGTTATGTCATTTTTCCTATTAAGACTATGCAGCATGAGTCTAATATTGATGCATCTACTGTAAAATTGTGACTTAATGACCAACCTAAGTATGGCTTTGTTAAGGAGTGCCTGCATGGCTGTATGTCTATATTACTGTATGCCTGTATTGTGTGCAGATATTAGTATATGCCTGTATTACTGTGTTTGTTTTACTGTATGCCTGTATTACTCAACTAATATATGCTTGTATTACTGTATGCCTAAATGACTGTAAATGGTATTACTTTACTTCTATTTGCCTTGAACTATGCTACCATAAGGTATTTTATCTGAATTGCCTGTATTGTCATATTACTGTTCTACTCTATGCCTAAACTGCTCTATGCCTATATGACTATATTACCATATTACTTTACAACTGTATACCTGTATAATTGTGTGCCTGCACTACTGTATGCCTGTATTATTATGTATAACTGTACTTCTGTATTACTATATGTCTGATTTGCTATACTTCTGTATGCCTGTATAAATGTACTCAGTATGACTTCACTGTTATTCCTGTATGACTGACTGTTATCCTTATAATATAATGTGAGTTTACACAAAGAAAAAGAAAAACAATTTCTAAAAGCAAATAATATTGAGTGTCTGTTACACCTTGATGATGTCTAATAGTATGTAGAATGATTATTTTAGGTGTTTCTATCATATGTTCGTTCAATTTCAAATTGCATTCTAATTTTTGATCCAAGCTAAACTATATCTTATCTTATCTGAATTATCTGATCAATGGTTGTTGAAGTATCTGGTCTATATCCTATTATCTAATCTATTTCCTCATATCTGATCTATGCTGTAATAGTTGATCTATGTTCTAATAGCTGATCTGTATTCTCATGTATGATCTATATTATTTCTCCTATATTCAAAAACCTGATCTTTATGTTATCTGCTCTATGTTCTAATATCTAATCTAATGGCTGATCTATTTTCTAATATCTGATATTTTAAATTCTGATCTATGTTCCAATAACTGATCTTTATTCTAATATCTGATCTGTGTTCTAATATCTGATCTAAATCCTAATATAGTATCTATGATCTTATGTGTGATCTATATTCTGATATCTGTTCTATGTTCTAACATGTGATCTATATTCTAATATCTGATATATGTTCTAATATACAATCTGTGTTCTATGATATGATCTTTGTTCTAATATATAATCTTTGTTCTATGATATGATCTTTGTTCTAATACATAATTCATATGATGATACATATATTTTTTCAGTCCCAGATGTGGTATCAATATTTATCCGAAAGAAGGAAGGTGAACAAATTGCAGCTCTTGTTGACAATGGCACAAAGGTAAGTAGAAATTCTTTAAGTACAGTAAAACCTGCATAATTCAACACCTCTCTTATCTGGATACCTCCCAATATGAACACTATATGGTCTTTTTTAAGCTGGTGATGAATAGGATAGTTTCTAAATAGCAGAAAAATCAATGAAATTTCGTGCTGCCATCTTTTATTCAGCTTTTAACTCGGGCCAGAGCTCCATTCATTTACATGCTAAAATCTTGGAAAAGTGGCTTAATTTCATGATTTATCAAAGTGTGTTTGTTGAATCTGTATAAAACCTGAATGATATACCACATGATGACCCTGTTTACGTACATGTTGTGATTAAACATGCAAATGTTGATTGACATACAAATAATCCACGGATTTAAAGAATTTTAGCATTGCATCTATGGACATTTGGCCCAAGTTTTTTTAAATTGTTATAGAAAATTATTCAAATTACATAACTGTGTAAATCAAAGCTATTATAGGAGAAAACATTTCACTGAATTCAAATATGCCATTTAAAAGAAGGTAATGTAAGTCATTAGAGGTCTAATATGCAAGTCTCTTAAAATCTCACGAGAAACGAGATTTAGCGAGATTTCAAAGGCTATATGGAAACTATACTATTACATGTAAAAGAAATTTGTTAATCCAAACACTTTTTGGCCAGTCCCTGTGTTAGTGGTGTTATGATCAGTCAAGTTTTACTGTATATACAAGTCATGGGTGTAGCGTACGGTACGCTGGGTACGCCTGCGTACCAGATGGTTGCAAATTCGCTCCAAATACAACCAAATTTCAAAATGTTGGTAGTCTATATTATATAACTTTTGTAGACATTATATCATTACATGATAACAATAGTCACAGCAATTAATATTATAGCAATACCACACTGGGATAACCTGACAATGGTAAAGTCAGATACTGTTGTCACAAATGGTGGATAATGGTATCTGACTTTACCGTTTTCAGGCTATTCCGGTGTGAATACCAAGTACTATTTTTCATTATTATCTACATTGCACTTCAAGTGGGAGAATTGAATCCAAAAGTTTATAGTTAGCATAACAACCATTACTTCATCTAGAAATATCTTAAAATGATGATGCTGTTTTCTTGTTGAATTGCTATTGTAACAAAAACATGTAATCAGCTGATCTAGCTAATAATAAGGTTGACACTCAATATTGTATCATACAAAATCTTAATCCTAAAATATTGGCTCTTAACCCTTTCACGACGATAGGCTCCATATGGAGCCCAACTATATAATACCTTTCAGGACGATGGGCTCCTTTTGGCACCATTATTTTTATTTCTATGCATCAATGAAATGACAATATCTCCAGTTCTATTCAGTATTTTTACACCAAATTTTGACAAGTTGTTAAAATGTGATAGTCCTTTTTAAAAAATGTATTCAGGTGATACAATTTAAAGCATACGTCCTGGGATATAGGTAATTTACAGTTTTTCCCTAAAAACTGCTCTTACTTATCCGTCACCAGTCCCATATTTTCCTCTTATATTCACGTCAGGAAAGGGTTAAAGTGTTATTATTTTTGTATTTTATTAGGTGATGATGTCTATCACTGTTGGACGCAACGTCATCAACAACTATACTCAGATCAACAAAACATCCGTATTGTTTGTGTCTGTCAGCTTTATCGTGCTGATGATCATTTCCCTAGCTTGGCTGGTATTCTACTATATACAGAGGTTTAGATACGCACATGCTAAAGAGCGCCTATCGGTAAGATTATTTGAAAATTGGTAACAATCAGTTAGTTCATATGATTAAAGGCAGAATCAGAGCTAGCAATGATCCATCATTAGAAAAATCATGACCTTGATGACAATTGTTTCAATTTTAGGATATTTCAGGCTCATATCATTCCTCATCTATTTTCTTAAAATGCCCAAAGATTTTTACAATAATGCATTCATTTGTCAAGTATGTTTACCATTTCTATTATTTTGGAGAATGTAAACATTTTTCTCCAATCTTTGTACTTTGAATCTTGAACTTCACTAATTGATACATATCACAGATCTTTTGGGAGATATTATGTTTGAGCTTATTTTTTGTAAGGGATACATTGATGGGTCAATTATATTTTATGCTTGCAATGTTACCCTCTATAGATCTGATTCTGCCTTTGGGGCATAAAGAGGGATTGGAACAGTACAATATTTTTTATCTATTGGCCTGTACCATGAGATAAATATACATTTAGTATTGCCAATTCTTGGCATTATTGGACTTGATATAATGGCTATAGCAATAAACTGTACATACTTTGGCATTTACATACATTTTCAAAATTCAAATATTAGGCTGCATGCAAAAAAATTAAAAAAACTATATCAATCTTTTGATTCCAGTGATGTCATTTATTTCAATAGATTTACATTTGTCGTTGAAAACTGAAAGTGATTCGGAGGAAGTGACTAATGGCCCACTTTGTGGTTTTATATAAACACTATGGACCAATTGTTGAATTGTTCATACTGAAAAAACCCATTGAAAATAATTTTGTGCAAATATATTTTCCTGAATGTCAGAATTGCTCAGATAAGGAAGTTGCTGTCGAGTTGATTGCATACACACAGTGGGAAAGTTCTCCACAATCAACCAAGTGTACAACCAATCAACTAAATTTATACTTAATCAACCAAAAATACATCCAATCAACCAAATGTACATTCAATCAACTACATTTATAACCAACCAACCAAATGTACATCCAATCAACCATGTATACATAGTAAACCAAATGTACATCCAATCAACCATATGCATACCCAATCAACCATGTACACATAATCAACTAAATGTCATCCAATCAACCATATGCATACTCAATCAACCATGTACACATAATCAACCAAATATACATCCAATCAACCATATGCATACCCAATCAACCATGCATACATAATAAACCAAATGTACATCCAATCAACCATATGCATACCCAATCAACCATGTATACATAGTAAACCAAATGTACATCCAATCAACCATAAGCATACCCAATCAACAATGTACACGTATTCAGCCAAATGTCGTCCAATCAACCATATGTATACCTAATCAACCTAATGTACATCCAATCAACCATATATATACCCAATCAACAATATGTATACCCAATCAACCAAATGTATACCCAATCAACCAAGTATATGCCCAGTTAAAAATCGATTTGCCAACAGTTGAAAAGGGCTATTCTCGGTTTGGAGAACGAAGTTCATCACTCTAATTGAGCGTTACCATTGCTTCAGACAAATTCAATTTTTTTTACATAATATAGATTGGAATGTCTTCTTTTGAATAGTCATAATTTAATTTGGGTGATATTTCTACATTTTTCATAAAAATATTATTAGCGCAGTATACTGATGAACTTCTTTCTCCAAATCGAGACTTTTATTTTATTGAATCGGTCTACTGCACTGATATCCCTGCTTCGGACAATTATGATATTTTTACATCTTGTAGATTTAAATGTCCTCTTTTGAATATTCATAATTTAATTCGGGTGATATTTCTATATTTTTCATAAAAAAATTGTTAGCCCAAGAGACTGTTCTCCAAACCTAGACTTGTCCTTTAAAAAAGTTTTGAAACATTACTACATGTATATTGTGGTTGAAGATTATTTTTTGCCATTAGAAATAAGTCAACAGAGTATTTTGGTGTCAAGTTGAAATAAAGTGAATAGATATATAGTTGTACAGGGTGATTTATATTCATGGTGTTCTGTTTCAGAAACGGCTGACAATAGCTGCTAAGAAGGCTATCAGCAAAATTCCAATGAAGCAGCTTAAAAATGGAGATAAAGTAAGATTTTACTCTCCTTTCAAATCAGATGGTTCTTAATGTAACAGAATGTACACAAACATTCCTCTGTGTTACTACATTTTACATGATACCTCAATTTAAATAATTTTAATATTTTTTTATGGGGAAATCTCACATTTGAATAGCTATAGGCATTGAATATGAATATATAAAGAAAACATTATTCAGTGTTTATACAAAGTATATACAAGAAGATGTGAATGTCATATTTGTAATGAATTATTCAAATGTGTGAATCACTATCAGTTGGTAAATAAGAAAGTAAATGCAAAGTAATATGACATATGTCAGTGAATGTTTTAATCGTCTGGGTCAAAGGAATGTTACCTAGAGTTTTACTGAGAGTTTAACTGTTTTTTTGACTCCATTTTCCAATGAGGTTTTGTCAATCAATATACAGTTACGTCATCACCTCAGAAGTGGTAACATATTGTTTAAGTCCCCAATTTTTTTGTGGACAGTGTTCGTTGGTCGGTGTTTGAGGTTTGGTGGTCGGTGTTCAGCATTCAGTCTCTGTAACAACTGGCTGGTGGTCTCATTCTGCATGTTGATGCCTTGTTTTTGATGTTTACTAAATTTGAGTTTAACCTTTGTCATATAATAGACTGAGGCACTGTGCCAAATGTTTTGTTTTTAGTTCCTTCACATGTCCTAATTTATTTATAAGATTTCAATCTCTGACTAGAGCCAGATCCTGTTTAAAACTATTGCATATCCAAATAAATAAAGTATACAGATTATACAATACTGAATTTAAGATATGAATTGTGATATAGACTTTATTATTTTTTTGTACTTTTAATCTTTGCATTACATTATTGAATTTACTGTCGTGTGTGACTTATATTATTGGTTGATAAAGAAGATACAGTAGGACTGATTATGGTGTAGTATTAGTATTTCAAATTTTATTACTCCATAGACATAGACAATAAATACAACGATATATCATTGGCTGACAGGTTAAAACTTGTTACTCTTGTTGCTCAGGACCACATTGATCATTTTGAACATTTAAGATCATAAAATATACTGTCAAGGGCTCAAACCACTTAATGGATTGATTTGAAATTTTCAGTGGCTAATACATTGTTTAAAAATTGGAACCGATTGGGTTTTGGGCATGCTGGGTAAATATAAAGGAGGCAGTTTTTCATTTTTCAGTAACATATTGTCTACCATATGCCTTTTTATGTCACCAGAAGTGGTGACATATTGTTACAGTTTCCAACATTTTTGTGGATGCTGTTCGTCTGTTAGTATTTTGCAGTTGGCAGTAGGTGTTTGGTGTTAAGCATTTGGCGTTTGTAACAAATGGCAGGTGGATTTTGCAATTTATATAATGCCTTGTTTAATTTGATTTAACAATGTTTAACATCACAATTTATTGTTTTATAGGAAATTGGTGATGAATTTGACCAGTGTGCAGTATGCATTGAGCAGTATAAACAGTCGGAGGTTGTGCGCATGTTACCATGCAGGTAGGCATATGTATTATATAAGGAGGGCTAAGCTACATGTGCAGGTAGGCATATGTATTATATAAGGAGGGCTAAGCAACAGGTTTTTAAAAGAACTTAACATTAACATATAGAATTATGGTCCTCTGAGAATAAGTTCTCCACTTCATAGTTATTATTACTAGCCAAAGTGAGTGTAAAGCTATAAAGAAAATAGTAAATTGGAATTAGGTCCCTGAAAATATATATTGGAAAGGAGACAGTTATCCCTGTGGGTCATAATATTACATGTTTATGTCAAAATTCTCTTTGTGTTAATGTGTATAAATTAACCTCTCTATTACTTGTAGTTTCAAACATGCTTTATGGTGTTCTAAGTGCATCCTATTGTCAAGGTTTATGAATCGGAATATATAAATTGGGATTTGCAGGAAATTAAGGGAACAGGTATCAAATTAACACTGATGAGCAAGCAATGTTGAGATTTGATATTATACAGAGAAAATGGAATGAATAAACATGAAATTAGAGGTTGGGATCTTTAAGCAGAGATGAATTGCTATGAATATGCCATGCATTATATAAACTTATGAAGCTTATCTACATCATGTATTCATTAGCAAATGCACCTTTATGACATATAATACGAAATATAATCTGTGGCTTATTAACAGGGGAGTGTATGAAATTAATTCCAAAGTCTATTGTAATCTTATGACATCTTGATTCCCAGGGCTATAATTAAGATTAAAGAATTCATGATTAAAAGTGTTCTGGTTAAATGTACTCTTGAAATGATATACTCTCGAAGTAATGTACTTTTGAAGTACTCCTGAAGTAATATACTTTTGAAATAATGTACTCTTGAAGTAATTTACTTTTGAAGTAATGTATACTTGAAGTAATTTACTTTTTGAATTAACGTTCTTTTGTACTCTTGAAATAATGTACTTTTGAAGTAATGTACTCTTGAAGTCCACTTGAGGTTATGTACTTTCGAAGTACATCAGCAGCAGTCAGGTTATTCATGTTAAGTATTTCAAAGTCTGTTATCCTCATACAGTCATATTATTATATGACATCATCATTTCCATGGTTACAACTAGTAAAGTGCACCTGGGGTCATTAACAGAAACTTCATAACAGTTAGGAACTCTTAGGCCCATTGTTCTTTTATTATGATGTTATAATAATTTCTGTTTATGTTAATGACCCCCTTGGTGTCTATTTCTATAAATATTCTTAAATGGCAGTGATCCTTACTCATTTTCTAGAATGGTCTTCATCTTTCAATTTTGCATAAAAAGTGCACTTATGTACTGTACCTATAGAAAAGAATGTAGAGAATAATGTTTTTATAAAATGTTTAAAAATGAGAAAATTCAATGTCCTACTTTTTAAAAGTACAAAATAAGTAGATCACTGATTTTAGATCATCTTTTCTACATTTTATAATTCGAATTGTTCTCTATACTCTTTAAGGTGCCTTATTTGTGCTGTGGTTTGTCATGTTAATATCTTTTTTTTGTATTTTTGTATATTCAGCCATTTATTTCACAAGTCTTGTGTTGATCCTTGGCTACAGGAACACAGAAGTTGCCCTATATGTAAGATGGACATACTGAAGGCATATGGCTTGCAGGTTCAGGTATGTATATAGAAGTTATCCCTTGGGAAGGACTGTATATGGGATTTATCCAGAGGAAAGATATCATATTCAATCAGAATAATAAACCCAATATACATGTACATATGACATGGGAAATGCCCCTTTTATATCATGATAACAGTTCTAAATAAATGAAAATGTGGATTCATTTCTGATATTGACATAAATAAAATACAATTAGGTAATTGCCATTGGTTTTAAAACAAAATAGCATCAATTTAATAAGTGAAATAATGGACATGAGATAAGATATGGTTACTTGTATACTTAATTCCAAATCCTTGAATCAAAATTATCCCATGGGCTAAGATGATGAGAAAATTAAAAAAGCAAAATAAATGGAGAATTGAAACTTGTCAAATCGTTACACAAAAAAGGTAATTTTTTAAAAGAAAAGCTAAGGCGTGGCGAAAGAGATTTATTTCTTAAAGGATGTACAGGTATATGCTCATATCACAGATAAATGAAGATTAAAAAGTAAACATATTTAGGTGATCAGATATTCTATTCAATTTAAAGAATTTAAGATTTAAATAGTATTAGAACATGATAGCCTCAGATACCTGAAGCAATCTGCTCTGTCGTGAAATTTTTCAAGAGCTTATTTTATAATTTCATTAATTTTGATGACAGCACATTATTGAGTCTGTACATTCACAGATAATGTCCCCAGTGAAATTAATAACTAACATTTCTTATTATTATGCATTTGTATTTGTACAATAACAACTTACATGAACATAGGTTCAAATAGGGACATGTGTGACTAATAATACACATCACCACAGCTCCCATAAGTGCCCCCTGGGTTCTCTTATTTTTGTTGGAAAATTAATCTTGGTATGATAGTTGGGCAAATTAATTAAGTCGGCCATTTTGTTTTTTCAGAACGTTATTTCAGAGATTTCAGAGATTTCTGTTGTTGACTCTAGGTCTGTTTTGCTAAACCCCCATTGCCTTTTCAGGTGAACTAATTGATTGGTTCTCTTTAAATCCACAGTTATGTAACTAAATTGATGATTGTCAGATTGAAGTTGATTACATGTATTTATAGAATTATCCTTAAAAGACTAACTAGCTTATAATTTGCTATTCACACCATATTGATCCCTAGATCAAGTACTTCCATGTTGTCCTTTTTACGGGCAGTTCCACCTCGAATCTTCAGCTCGCAAAAGCAAGTAGAACAAAACCTTTATGATGGAACCACATTAAACTTCTAAGTATAATGAACTAATAAATAATAGTCATGTATATACCCAAATAAATAATTAAGTGAAACAACTTTGTTTTTCTAGATTGAAGGTTCTCCACCTGAACCTGTAGACCCGGAGAGTGGTCTCGTAAATAAATTATATTAAAGGGATGTCATGTATCTATCCAAGTAAATAAAAATAAGTGAAACATCTTTGTATTTCTAGATTGAAGGTTCTCCACCTGAACCTGTAGACCCGGAGAGTGGTCTCGTAAATAAATTAATATTAAAGGTATGTCATGTATATATCCACATCAATAATAAGTGAAACAACTTTATATTTCTAGATTGAAGGTTCTCCACCTGAACCTGTAGACCCAGAGAGTGGTCTTGTGTCTGGGTTTGATCTCTCAATTACAACTACAGCAGCAAGTTCAGATCCTGCAAACATGGGCATTGAGGTGATCAGATATCAGCCAGCAGATGTTGAGCTGCACCATAGGGACTCAGGCCGTGGCTGGCCTTCCAAGGATGGGGATATCCCCCACCCTCCTGCTCATACCCCCGCCCCGGCCTCCCTGGATGCCTTACCCCCCAGGATTGTGCAACGTGCTGGTAGTGTAGAAAGTATCAAATCTGTCATTGATCAAGAATGCAGTGAATATGAGGCTCTTATGTCTTGTAATGATAAGACTAAATCCAGCAGTAGCAGGCCAGGTACTAAGTAAATTTGAATATCAGGAAGTGAAGGTCATGCTTAGTGCTTTAAACTCAAAATAATGTGGAATAGGAGTGCAATGAAATGAATAAAGAAGAAAATGTCTGTAAATTTAACACCCTTACTTGTACAGCAATCAGGGTGCTTTATATCGCTCTCACATCTACAGATCAGATTTAAATTATGGAACAGTTGCCATGTTTCCTATACATGTTGGAAAAATAAACACACCCAGACCAATGCAGAAGTAACAGGCTTTTAGCCTCTGGCAACTGGGCAAGTGCGTATGTTGCGCCCTGATGGCAATGCGAGGACATGAGAAAGGTAGAGAGATATGATGTATAGTAATATAATAAACAGAGAGCATGACCAGAAGAGAGACTACATGCCAGTTATGTTTTCGTTGCTTATACTAAGCTTTTGACATCATTTTTGCCAATTCGAGCCAATACGCTCCACTCACTCGTATCATTTGTCAGACACATATACAAAGATTTCTAAACTTTTTGAATGGATTTGACTGATATGCTACTGGTGTCCTTTTCTTCTCTGGATACATATTATCAAAAACTATTTTAAATTAATGTTACAAATGCTTTTTCATCGCAGTTAAAGAAAATTGTGATTTCTGATTTAATGCCAATACCCAGGAAAACGCTATGTAAATGTGTGAATGGATAATCTCACATGATCCCTCAACACAAGTATACAAAATGGTTCCTGGTCATGTGATATCATTGCTGCCAATCAAACATTCAGCAATTACTTTCATAATATGTGAGCTACCATGGCAACACAATGGATCTCCTAGCAACTGACTTATTTGATTACAACAAGAGATAAACATACAGAAAACGGTCCACATCATTGTATCCCTTATATTTCAAGAGAAACTGGGGTCCACCTGTACTTTGTACTACTGGTATATTAACCAAAATCCATATTGATGTTAATAATAACTTAAGTTCATTTACTTCAGAGTAAAATGTTTTATTTTCGACGTTTCGAAGTGAAAACTGAAGTAAATGAACTTAAGTTATTATTAATACATTACCAGAGTGATGAATTTACACAGAAACATATTGATGTTTATATTCTTTAAATTGTCATATTAACTCTTTCATATTCTACATAAAAATAATTTTAATATTTACCCTTGTAGGACTGCATTGTAAAATATGTATTTAATGTACTTAAAGGTTTAACTCCAATGTTTGATAATTCAGAATTTTGTTTAATTTCTTTTTGAATTTAATATTTCTATTCATGGCCTCTCGTTATTAAAATTAAAAAGTGTTTGTACCATACAAAATCTAAACTGTATAATACAAATGCACAGGAGAATAAAATACATAATTTTTGTTCATATATCTAAGAGCGGTATTTCATACATCAGACAAAAGCTTGAAAAATATGTGTAGTTTCCACTTTCATTGCATGTAATCTGTAATCCTACCAGGGTTAAATTCAAAAATGAAATTATGAGATTTAATGTTAACTTTTGAAGCTTTGATTGAAAGTATTAGGTCAGTCTGACTCTTTCTTTTCTGTATTATCCGGGATGTTTATTTTGTATTAAGCCATGATGCAACTCTGATGCAATGCATGTAGAAAGCTACTTGTAGATACTAATGGTTATTATGGTACATACATGGGACATTCATCGTGCTAGAAAATGCTTGAGTTTGCAGAAGTTTTGCTAAAGAGAAGTGTTTGTAATTCTCATCCAGTTTATTTTTCAATGTATAATGATATTGTAAGGTGCACCATAAATTAACAGGTTCTGATAAAAACATCAAAATTAAATTTTACATTTTTACCTTTTTAAATGTTTTACTTTTCACTTTATCAAGCATTCATTGTTAAAGACAATAAGGTTATTATCAATAAGTCTATTGATACTGCAAGTTAGATATTATTCTCAATAAAAATGTAATGGATTAATTTTGAATGAGAATCACAGATAATGCCCCTTGAAAACATGATATCCAGGATGAACATAAAATGCAAAAGTATTCTGTCAAACATTGTGTGGATGTTCAGGATGAAAAATGGAACACATTTACTCTCAAGGCCAACATTTCATGTGCTTAGTTGATATGGTTGAAAAATTGTAACTACAAGTACATGTATAACCTCTTATGTTGTTGATACATGTTCCTTGCTTTCTATAGGCTATGGCTTTAACATTGAACAGTATTGAAGAAAAGGCTAACATGCTTATAAATTGTATAAGAATGACATGCTATTTAACATTGGTAGTTGAAACAATGACACTGGCTATCTTATATGTGGATATTGAGTACAACAGTGTACTATGTGTATGCATACTGGTGTGTTTGAGTAGCAAAGCCCTACATTTAAGTGAGACTTTTAAAATTAAATCAGATTGAAATAGTTGTATTCCAGTGTAAAGGTATAACTCAAAAAAGAACTAATGTCATCTTTATTTTAAAGTAAAATTTGAAGTTCTGTATTAACATAGGCCAGTCATTTTAAAAAGGATGTGTCTGTGAAAAGTAGAAATGTCAGGAAATGAAATAAGTAGTACTCAGTCCATGATCTTGAGTAGTACTCAAGTCATGATTTAAAGTAAGCAGACTCAAATCATTATGTAATTGTGAGTGGTCCTCAAGTCATTCTAATTATGAGCAGAAATCATGTTATGATCTAAATGCAGTACTGAAATCTACATCTAAATGTTATTGGTAGTTGGCACTCAAGTCATGGTCTAAAGTTAGAAGTACTCAAGCCATGATGTAAATGTCAGTTAACTCGCAATCTAATTGTGAGTAGTACTCAAGTCATGATTTAAAGTTATTAGTACTCGGATCATGATTTAATTGTGAGTAGTAGTCAATTCATGATTTTTTAAAGTTATTAGTACTCAAATCATGATGCAATTGTGAGTAGTATTCAAGTCTTCATTTAAAGTAATTAATCATGATTGTGAATAGTACTCAAGTCATGATTTAAGGTCATTAGTACTCAAATCATGATGTAATTGTGAGTAGTACTCAAATCATAATTTAAGGTCATTAGTACTCAAATCATGATGTAATTGTGAGCAGTACTCAAGACATGATTAAATTATGAGCAGTACTCAAGACATGATTTAATTATGAGCAGTACTCAAGACATGATTTAATTACGAGCAGTACTCAAGACATGATTTAATTGTGAGTAGTACTCAAGTCATGATTTAAGGTCATTAGTACTCAAATCATGATGTAATTGTGAGCAGTACTCAAGACATGATTTAATTGTGAGTTAAATTTTGATTGAAATGTGAAATATATGTAGTAAAGTATGTTGAAGTGCTCACATATGAGTTTCATGTACATAGTACTCTAGTGTAAATTATAAACATGCATAAGTACCTAATCTGGAATATGGACAGGATAATCTAAAAATTGATTGGAGGTTGACTTTTGGTTTTTTAAAATGCAAAACTACAAGTTAAAATCATTCAACACAATTTTCATTTATAATACTGTATTTGTCTTTAATCTGACGAGGGTTTTAATTTGGCCATAACAGATTGAAAGCCCATGATTTGGCAAATAAGAAATGCCATATTAAATACTCGCCTAAATCCCCAGGAATTTGACATGTTTTCGTTTGGTGCACTTCCAATTATAAGAAATATAAGACGATCAGGCCATTTTATTTAGAAATACTCCAAGATATTGTTTATCAATACTACTGACAATGAGTGTCTTGAATTGGCTCAGGTGGGAGAGTGTGTTTCAAATACAGACAGAAATTCAGTATTTCATGTCCATACTGCAGATAAGGGACCTGTTCACATGTATTTAAACTATGGTGGCTAAATCTACATTTAGAAAAGTTTATATTTTATATACAAGTTGTCATTATTTATTCATCTGCAGTTTATGTGTAACTTACATGTTTTCACTTAAAGCAAGCATTAATTTAATTCAAATAAAAAATGAACAAAAACTGGAACTCGCCAGTCTGTACCCCAGGTCAGGGCCCCTGATCTCTTCTGGTCAGTTTGCCCCTTGTCAGTCTGTAATTCTGTTCAGTTTACAAGAACTATTTTTCAAAATTTGCAACTCATTCTTTAATCAAGAAAAAAATTAATCATAAGCATAATATACAAATTGTGGATAAAAATGAATATTTTAGCACAATATTTATGCACATGTATTTACATTGGCATGTGAAAGATTGTGAAGGACAATAACACTGAGTAGCACTTGGGTGCAATATCTGTATTGGATGCTTTCTTTATACAATATTTTATATTAAGGCAGAAATGATCTTCATCTATCAATGCATTTGTATATATCCAAGCATAAGGCCATGTAATTAGCTTCTTTTGAGTACAGTGAAACCTGTCAAATGGAACGCCTCTGTGGGAACCACAGATCCATAGGGAAGGCCAAAGTCCCATTAAATTACATGTAAATGAACACTCTATTAGAAAAACATTTCCACATGAAACACTTTTGGCCAGTACGGAGGTGATCGATTTACGCAGGTTTTACAGTATATTGTGAATCATACATGTCACATTTTAATCCCTTTGAGATGCTCTTAAGATATAGATGGTCACACAATTTACACAGTGAATATATCGAAGGGTGTTTTTGCATCCTGATGTGTGGTTTAAAGTACAATAGACCATAACAGTAAACCCTGCCCCCTTTTGGTGAACTATTGAACTATGGTATATTGGCTAGGTTTATGATGTCATATTTTGCAGGCAGCTATATATGTAAACAAAATAGTAATAAATTAATCCTATCTCTACCCTGAAAGTGCAAGCATGGCATCATAATCAAAAGGTGGCATGATTTATTGGATTGGTCGATTTTTTTCCTGGGCAGTTCTATCAACAGTATTAAACAGTGAAATTCAAGATTTCACCTGACATATCATACATAGAATGAAATAAAGGGGACATTAAAGGATTACATGTTAAATAGAATGACAGTAAACCAGTCTAAGTGGAATACCTTTGGTACCTCTAAAAGGTGTTCCACATGGAAGGTGTTCCTCTTTTAGAGGTTAATTTAACATTAAGTTAATGGTTCACTGGATTCGGAAGTGATCTACTAACAGAGGTGTTCCACTTAACAGGTTTCACTGTACTCAGTTACAGAAAAGAGTTAGGTACATAATTTAGGCTGTTTATGAAGTCAGTGAATTCTACGAGGGTTGTCACACAAGTCCCGAGTATTTTGTTATTCAAGGCTGAGATTGCAGCAGTATAATATCAAGACAATTTCTGATTGATACAAAGAATTTCAAAATATCTGATCTTCTCAGTCTTGAATAATAAACATGAACAATTAGTTTAAGACTTTTGGAACAACCCTTGTAAACTAATTAACAATGCATCCACCCCAAAGCATCACAATCAAAATAATGTTGAGATGGGAAACATATAATGACATGGTGAGGCTAGGGACTTGATGTAATGTTGAAACGTAAGAGACAAATATTGTGATACGAAAATATTGTAAGGTTAACATTTTATGCTTGTTTGAGCTCTCATCTTGTACATTACAAAATATTGTCATATTTCTATCACATTAAATGTTGTTTATTGAGAAAACAACTAACTTGTACTGTTATATTGAGTTTTCTTTTGGTTTATGTGGTGATACCAAGGGGCTAAGTCTACAACATAATGTGTGCAGGAAGCATTTTTTCAATTTTTTAAAAGCCCAAGGCAATGCTCATAATGATGTGGAGATATGGAATCCGGGAAGTAAAGTTGGATAACCTTCGCTTCCATGAAAGTCCATGGTTTGCTCAAGTCTGTGTTATGAAGGAACGATGTGTCTGTTAAATACCTGCTCCGTCTGGTTTCATTACACCCGATTCTCTACGGCTTCTTGGTATTCTAATATGCTTGTTTTGGGCATTTGAACAAGCACTCTATTGGCGAAAAGAATGTTATCAACCTCTATGTATGTATGTGATTGGAGGTAACACCTGATATAGTTGGGTATAGGTCCATTTCTTGGAAAATCATCGAGTAATATCGGTACGAGAGCTTGACTGGGGTGAAGCATGTATTGCTTGTGGGCCATTAGGAATTGCTCTTTACACCAATCACCTTCAAGAAACTTAAATGAAAGAACCATAATGGTTCTTTGACTTTTCTCAATAGCCTCGGCAATATTTTCTGGAAAGGTAATATCTAAACTGAAATCGCGATCATGGAGGCACAGTTTGTATTTAGGCTCCAGAATTGGTAGCAGCGTCTCTCGAATCCATCTTATGTCTCCCTTGGCGTATCCAACAAATACATCATAAATCTTTCCTACTGGTTTCTCGGGGTACCGCTTTTTCTTCCTTATAAGGAGAATAAAAACGTCTTTATAAAAGTACAACGTCACTAGCGCTGCTACCATAACAACCGTAACACTCGTTGGCACCCCAACAGCCACTCCCCAGTTCATATCGCATAAAACCTCGTTGAAATCATGTACGATTATAGGATCTCCGTTTGTACATATTACAGCATGAGACTCGTAAAGTACTCTTCTTTCTACAAGACTCGTCAGCCAATGTTTTAACGATCGTGAAGAGCAATCACATTCAAATGGGTTATCATGGAGTGTGATGTTTTGAAGATGTGGAAAAGGAACATCTAGTAAAGAACCTGGAATGTATCTAATGGAATTATTGTGCAATCTTAGTTGTTCAACATAAGAGAGGTTAGCCAAAGCGCTCGTCTCTATGTCTTCAATTTGGTTGCTCTGCAAGTATAGGGAACCAAGGTTTTTCAAGTATGGTCTTTGCGGTATATCTCGAATTGCATTATCAGCCAAGTACAAATCGATGAGTTCGCCCTTGTCGTCATTGACGCTTGGAAGGTTATTCGGAAGCCTAACCAAATCTTTCCCCTGGCAGTCCACAACTAGTCGGTTCAAGTATGGCTTCCTTGTGCAGGAACACATCGATGGGCAGCCATCGTGGATGTTACATATCAACTGATGTCCAGGCACTTTCGTTAACGTGATATTACGTAGAGTTGGTGGGTGCATACACAAAAATGAGGTATCTAGCCAAGAAGTGTACCTGGTGGGAAACTTATCAAGTAGAACTCCCCTAAATATGTTGAAGAATTCAAACATATGACAATCACACGTTAATGGATTGTCAGTGATACGAATATCAAAATATATTCCCAACAATGAAAAAAAGGCAGCCACTTCACTGACACGAACTACGTACCGAAAAGGTTGCAACACTTCCAGGTTGAAGTATTTAAACTGGTTATGTCGTAAATCCAATGCAAAGAGATAAACCTTATTTTGTGCATCTGTTTGAAAACTGGTGAAATGGAACCCATTGATTGAATTGTGAGAAAAATTGAAAGATTTTTTGATGCGCCCCCTATATTTGGGACTAAGTGGGTAAAGAGGACGTTTTTCCTGTCCGAATAGTTGAATGATATATGTATCTAGAGATTTGAGTTTATTATGGCTTGCATCAAAAACGAATAGATTAAAGTTGTTGAGAAAAGCTCCCTTCTGGAAAACTGAGATTTCATTGTGGCTAACATAGAATTCTTCAATTCGTACGAGCGTAGCGAACAGTCCCGTTGGAATGATCGATATTTTATTGAATTCCAAGTGTAGTATCCGTAAATTGGAGAAACAGTGAAATATGTCACTAGGTATAAATGAAATATTATTATGCGAGAAATCGAGCTTCTGCAAATCTGGAAAAAGGCATATTGTATCAGGAATCCATTGGAGGTGGCAATAAGATGCATCAAAATTACTAACGTTGTCCTTGTTTGTTATGTTTTTTAATGTTATGTTATTTATGAATTCGCCAGGTTTGCACTGCACTTTTAATGTATCCATTCCACGACTAATGGTGACACTGCATTCTGTTCGATTTCCTTCTAATTGTGCAGATATTGTTCCTACTAGTACTACTAAAAAGAACCCCATCATTACGCACCTTACTTCTGTGTTTAAAGTCCCTGTCATGTTCAGTACTTGTCAATGGATTCTCATCTTACTAATTATTTACTCTTATAATCCGTGAGAAAATAGTGGATTTTATAAAGTTTCAAAAACGTATTAAACTTAAGCATATTGCAACGCACCAACTTACTTATGAAGGTATGAAAAGGTCGTGTTAAATGAAATATTTTACCACGTTTGTAACAAAGACATTTGAACGAACATTCATTCTATACATACATGTAAAACTAAAAATGATTCATTTGAAATTTCAAATTCATAGAAATTTAATCAACATCCCGGTTGAAACGTTTTGAATTAAATTGCTATATTAAATTATTCCAGCTCAAACGAATCCATTATGACTTGTATTGAGGTTTATAAAATCGTATCTTTAACGTATTATATATTTTCGCCAGACTATATAAACCATATACTATATACCTAAATTCGGACGATGACTGTCATAATTAAATCGACATTCCGTCTTGGTACAGTCATATCGGGAATCGAGATATCGAAAGTAAATCAAGAAGGAAGTCAATACATGGGTCGATCAATATATTCGCTACTTTTTGCTTTATTTTCTTTTATATACTGCTTATTTCCATTGAAATTTGACACAACCATGCATTGTCAAATGCCGTATCTTTTGATACCCTTTTCAAGCCCATTACCATAAGTGACAAAACATTAAAGTTGCCAAGTGCACACCGATTATCGTTAATGACAACAGAATCTGAATTTGAAATAATTTACCGTACGCCGTTGTCTTGCTAAACTATTTCAAATTCAGATCCCGTCATTTACGATATCGAAGACGCTGTATAATTGTAGCGATTCAAAACCCAATTTGATCGAAATTGTGATTTCATATGATACATCATCACAAGAGCTTCATACATGCGCAGAATTAGCGGCGATAAAATCCCATGAAATGAGGACCAAGTGATTAAACAGTTGAAGCGACGGTTATGTCCGCCATTTGTGACAACGGTAGGCCTATCTGACTTTACCGTTGGCAGGCTATTCCGGTGTGAAGTGCCTCATATATAGTCTTCTTTAAAAAGGGGAATTATAAAAGAAGGTAGTCTTAAAACTTTGATTCAAATTAGTAACTTCTACGGATACTATTTTACATATGAAGTGTTCAAATCTATTCAAGGGAATCGTCCCCGAAGTAGACAATGGTTTTCTCGGAATCGTAAGTTGCGATCATTCCAAAAACGAACCCCAGGGTAGATAAAGGCTTTACTAAAATATTTGCATTACCAGATAAAAAGAAAAGAGAAACACAATCATATTCAAAATAAATTCTTAGTGTAGTTAAAGGTTTGACTAAGATACAGGGTGGTAAAAACGACAACGCTCATTTTCCTCATAACGTTATCATTCCAAAAATTAAAGTGACTCCCTGATATTTGGCACATTTGTGCAACGTTCAAGTTCCTACCATCCTACAACATTTCATAACCATTAACCTAATGGTCACAATGTTACGATGGTCACGAAATTGGGTAGACTGATTGGAAATTGAATAATTTACGAATGTGTAAAATATCAGGGAGTAATTCCTTAAAATGACAGACAGGAAAATATGCAGGGTTACCGTTTTTCTGACAACCCTGTGTTTGATTTACCAGATAAAAAGAATATAGAAACTCGAAGAAAATTCAAAATAAATTATTCTCAGGTTTAACTAAGCTTCTATCGCAAATGAAACTAACGCCTGTCGGCTACCGGATTGACCCACTATTTTATTGGCAAGTCATTTAAATATGAATATTGAATAGTACCTGCCACTAATCCGGTAGCCGTTAGTTTCATTCGCGAATAGCGAATGCAACTAACGCCTGTCGGCTTCCGGATTAACCTTCTATTTTATGGGTAACTCAATTAAATATGAATAGTACCTGCCACTATTCCATTCATATTTAAACGACTTGGTCATGAAATAGTAGGTTAATCCGGTAGCCGATAGGCGTTAGTTGCATTCGCGAATACAAGGTGATATTTGATTTATCAGATAAAAAGAAGAGAAGCTCACACTTAAGTCAAAACACATTCTTCTCAGAATAGCTAAACCAACGATGGTATCTGCATAACCAGATGAAAAGAGAACAAAAACGCAAACAAAATTCAAAATATTTTCTTGTATATCATCTTCACATTTATTAACAATAATATTCATATATTACTTAATTCGGATTATATACAATAAGTCAATCATAAAATATAAAATATAATTATTATGTACAGGTTGTATATATTTATAAAAGCATTATGCATAGATATTTATGTATGTATATATATACTATATATGTTTTGACACTGTCCGTCTTGGTATGCCGTGTCATGAGGAAGGTTTAGCTACACGTTTTAAATGAATTTTTACACGAACTTGAAGAATCATTGCCCTATAGGGATTGGTCCCCCTTCATTGTATTTACTCGCCCGATTGAGTATTATGTAAAGGAAAGAGTTGTGATAAGGTCCCCGGACGAACCAATTGAGAGGGGGTGAGGAATCCCTGGGGGTCATCAAAGTTCACGTTCTCTTGAATACGTGTAGCTTAAACATCCCTTTGTGGAGAAACATACACTCCCCTCCATTAGTATATGACACGGAAATAATTCCGATTGACATTTATATCTTATAAGTAGTCTTATTCAGGCTCATATCTGCTTATTTTAATGAAAGCAGTAAAGCATATTAACAACAGTGTTGTTGCCTATTATGCACAACCGTATATGAGGTGATGATACAGTTTGGAGTCCAAACTTTGAAGGGAGTGTACGTATATACATTCAAATTGTTTTTTATATATTGCATAGTCACCCATTTTGGGTTTGTCATAAGTAGTAATGTACATTTAATATGCGTCACACAAATACTCCAATAGAATAAAATGGCAACAAGAGATGTCGAGCAACATTTTGAAAAATATTAATATAATAATATTTTAGCTAACATCATGCTCGTATGTTCGTATCAAAAATCCTCAAATACTAATATTACAGAATTAGACTTTAACATTTATGCATCCATTTATTAAGATGTGGATACCCATATTCATTAATATTTAAATTGCAACCACTTCCAAAGATTTCTGCATCGCAAATCTTAAATATCTTCACTATTTAATAGCACGGATATTTTCAGATATATAATATTTGGGATAATGAAATACATTGTTCGATGAAATGAATGTTGCATTCGTTTTTTCACGTCTTATCTCTGATTTTACCTTTAAGTATAATAAACAACAGTTATATGTAGCATCGATTATGTACATCTCAATTTTAATTTGATTATCATATTTTGTCTCTTGTTCACCTTTTAAACCTTTCCACGAAGTGTTTTCTGTAATGACGAGCGTAGCGAACCTCTACACGAAGGGCATATTATTACATCATGCTCTCTAATAAACCTGTCTTTGTTTAAAATATGAAGTACGTAATTGCTTATAAAAACGTGCAATGTGAATCTGCCATTTGCTGTACATAGTATACTTTGAGCATAATCTAAATTAAAATAAAAAGCAGGCTAACTTTAGAATTGTCATTTAAAACATGTTTTTGTAAAACCCTCACAACTTTACCAGAATCATCAAACCTTGTTTTAGCACCATGTATCGTATACTATAGTGTATAAGATATCGTAAAACAGATTCAGGGTGAGCCATCAGCACATCTTGGGAAAGAGCTACCCCTTTTCATAGAATCATGGCATCGATCCTTTATAACTACGGTCATTGATCTCATAAGTTTGATCACATCTGTGTTTCATATCATATCGTAGCGGAGTTTCACGTAATGCGGCTCTGAGTTCTTAAATATAAGTCACGCAATTGTTTCAGATGTTATAGAAATTGCCTCACTAAACACAAACGCCATTAATTTCCTTCAAAATGTTAATTTGAAAGTATTATCAACGGTGGACCATCGGTCATTGAGAAAAGGGTCCTTATAATGAGAAAACCTGGAGCCTCGAATTATCCTTCTCTGGGATCAAATGTACTGATATACAGGTAAAGATCATCGTATGGTAACACAATTTAATCCAGTACTCAACTTAGCAATCATATGATTAGTTTATATTGTTTGTAGGTGTTCTATTTTTATTGCATTGTTAATAGTAAATTCAGTTTGTCATGTTTACATGTTTAACACAGCTAAATAATCGTGTTTCTTTTCGATTATTCATAAATTAATCAGGAGTAAGCGTTTGTGTTGCTATAGGTATTCCATAATATAGGTATTCGTAATTGTTAATAAATCATTCAGCAATAAGCCTTTGTGTCGTTATAAGTATTCCATAATTCGGTGTTCTGTAAATATTTTCAACTGTTTATAAATCATTCAGTAGTGTGGCGATAAGAATTTCGTAGTATAGGTGTTCTGTAACTTTTTTCAACTGTTTATAAATCATTCAGCAATACGCATTTGTGTGGCGATAAGTATTTCGTAGTATAGGTGTTCTGTAACTTTTTTCAACTGTTTATAAATCATTCAGCAATACGCATTTGTGTGGCGATAAGTATTTCGTAGTATAGGTGTTCTGTAACTTTTTTCAACTGTTTAATAAATCATTCAGCATGCAATACGCATTTGTGTGGCGATAAGTATTTCGTAGTATAGGTGTTCTGTAACTTTTTTAACTGTTTATATATCATTAAGTAAGCGTTTTTGTTGTAATGTGTATTCCCTTTTATACGTATTCCGTAACTGTGTCGCTAAAGATATTCCATAATTATTCATAAATCACTGAACGTGTGAACCCTGTTATACCAAAATCGGTTTTCTTTGTCTATCAGGGGAAACGGCAGACACGTCACCTTTGTTCAGTTCAGATTTTCTCACTCCAGATTTATCCACCTTTCCTATACCAATGCCAAATTTCTTCAAAAATGACGGTGAACGTTTAACATTAGTTCCCTTCATGTCATGGTTTTCATCTACTTGTTGTGATGGTTTTGATTTCGGAGATTGGTTTTGGGCAACAGATATACTATTTGGCCTCTTCGGTTTTTTTAACAGTAAGTCTTCATCCTTAGATGTATGGAGTGATTTATTATTAGGGTTTGTAGTTTTTCTCATTGGGGCAACTACTCCCAGTCTTGGTCCGTTTGCTGCAATATCCGTCATTTTCTGGGATGTTGGAGTGGGAGATTGGACTCTATGAGGAGGTGCGTGAACTCCAGGGGTTGTATGATGGGTTACTTTAGGAGGACCACGTTGGGATTTTCCTGGGGCTGGCGAAACTCTGTTTGACCCTTTATTTTGGGGGTTGTTTGACTTTACGGTAGATGTTTTACTCTGTGTGGCTTCTTTGGATGCTGATGACGCCGTTGGTGCCAAGAGGGACGCCCTGACATTAGGTCGAGTGGTAGTGCTCTTTCTTATGCTGCCTGCCCTTTGGAATGGGGTCGTCTCCGGGGATTTCACCGATGTTTTGGACGGACTTGGACTGAATGTTGGTTCCTTTGATACCTTGGCATGGCCTCTAGGAGCGGGGGTACTTCTAGCTGGTAGTGATCTCCTTGTGACGTCACGTCTCGATAAATTAGTAGAAGTACTCGACGTGCTAATGTTCGACGCCAGGCTACTGTTCGAACCAGAATGGTGCTTAGTTCCAGCAAGCCTAGCTGTAACTGCATCTGCTGTTTTACTTGTTGCTTTTTTCTTTATCCCAGTATCGAGTGCAGGTTTTCTCAGGGAACCACCCCGCCTAAAGCTTGGATGTACAAGCGCCTGTTGTGGCTGGTGCTTCTCTTTCTGACTCACAGCTTTGCTGTTATGAGTCGACGTAGAAGTTCCGTGTCTTGTTGGGTTAACTATCTGCTTTTTAATTTTCTTTTCTGATGCTGGAGATTTGATTTGTTTTTGAATTGTTTCTGGGAGCTCATGAACTTTACTCGACGTGTTGATCTCTGTCCAGGTCGTTGAGCTGTCTTCTGCGTTTGCACTTGTATCACTTTCACTAGCCCTCATAGCCACTGCCCACGCGTCGTTCAACTTCAAACCAGGGAAATCATTAGTAGTCGGAGCGTCTGCTCTTTCACTTTCATCCGCGACGCTATCATAATCATCATCATTTTCAGTTTTCCATTCTGAAATTGTGGGTTTGTGTAACTTCTCCAAACTTATGGCTAATTTTGTTCTTGTGTCTTCATCTGTCTCGATCACCGTTGGCTCAGGAGATCGTATTCCCTTTCGTTTTAAGGTTGGTGTACCAGTGAGATCGGCACTTAAGGTGCTACTCATTGAGGTTCTTTGGGAAACAGTCTCAGATTGAGTCTCGAACCCCTCATCTCTATCATTTTCATTGGTAGAATCAGATCTAGGTAAGCTTTCATCTGACATGGGTCTCGTTGAGTCATTTGGATGATTCCTTCTTTTAACTGAATCCGAGGAATACTTAGTGGATTCAGAGCTTGTCGATTCTTGTTGTAATATTTCTTTCTGTTTGGCTTTCCTAGCTCGCATTTTAGCCAAGAAATCAGAAGTTTCTGCAGAAAAGTTTTTGTCATCATATTTTTGAGCTACAGATTTTATATCATTGGAATCTATTACAGAGCTCCAGCGTCTATTGTCTTTCCTTGACGGCTTATCAGTCTCTGAATTATATTCCTTTTTCCCATTTTTATGGTTACTAGATGGAGCATCGTCTGTAGAGCCATTTGTAAGGTCAGGTGAATCTTCAAATTTTCTATAACTTTTGATTTCAACTGCACTTTGATTTCTCTTTAAAGAAGGCTCTTCCTTATTATCTAAGTTGACATCCCCATAATAACGACCCCATCTTCTAGGATCTCTCGCTAAGTTGGTGTCAGAGCTCTTGTCACTTCCCCGTAACCTCATGGAATAGGACCTCTGAAGTCGTGAGGGCTCTTTTATACTTGTATCCATGCTTGTATCTCCAATCACTGACCTTGTTAACTTAGGAGTGCTTTCTGACGATTTACTACCATTCTCTTCCTCTTCTATAGGTGTGGGCACGTTATCATAGTAACTCATTCTTGCTGAGAGGGGTCTGGTATGACTCTTAGTATGTTCGTGTTCATCATTTACTTCAAGTGCGTCACCTGCAGCTTTATTATCTAGGTCACGCCTCCAACTTCCAGATGAGTGATCAAACAAGGCCTTTTGAGTCTTTGTACTTGGCGACTCATCAATGTCAACGTATTTCCTTCTGAGAGATCCAGTTCGGAGAAAGAACCCCCCTTCTTCATCATCAGCCCCATCAAACGTTAAAGAGCCCTTAAGTCTTGCTTTCCTCTCAGCAGCTTCCTTTTCCTTCTGTTCTTGTTCAGCCTTTAGTTCGGCTTCTGTTTTCTCTGGTTCCACAGTAACCATCCTTTCAATTTCTTTACCCGTTCGTTGAATTGAGTTTATTGTTCTATCAATGTCACTTGACCAGTTTGGCTTGGTGGCATTAGCATTAGAGTCAGTTGTTTTAGATGGTATTTCCATTTGTTTGTCATTCTGTTTCACTTCTACATTTTGTATGAGCGCTGCGACTGAATCCTTGCTAACGCTATACTGCTTTTGAAGCTTCAGTCTTCGTTCTTCTGACGATACTTTTGAATCAATGTCTTTAATTTCAGTATCTTTTCTTGAGTCTATATTGTCCAGAACTGATGTTAAATTATTAGACGTTATTGAGCTTGTGCATTTTGCCAAAGCCTTTGTTCGTCTATCATTCTCATTATTTAATTTTGCATTCATATTGTTAACGGAAGAGTCAATAGATTTCTCATGGACGACTGGGCTTTTGAAGACCTCGTCGCTTAATGTACTGGACTGCCTTGATACTGGCCGACTATTATCTACTTCATCTGTTTTTTCTTCTTTATCTTTCACGCCCTCAAATCTTTCTTTAACTTTCCTTATATCTTCCATTGCATTTGTTTTACTAATCATGATTTTGCTGTCTTTTTCTAACTGATCCATATCACTATATCGTCGTCTAGAGCGCCATCTTTCAGATGGTTTGTTATCATTGTCACTATTTGAGCTTTTATTACCCCGTTCTCTGTCCACTGACTGAGCTTTTGACTCTCTATGAGCTCTGGACTCATGTAAGTCTCCACCAGATGACACTTGATCTAATTCTCCCTTTTCAAATCTGTTTCTCCACGACCTTCTCTCAGTGGATCCTCTTTCTAATGTACTTGGTGGACTCGTGGATTTCACTGGTTTGTTTTCTCCAAGGGTCAATGGGGAAGGAGAGGTGGCACGTTCACGGTCTATAAATTCACTAAGTGCGTTAGACCCACCTTTACGCGATTGTCTCTTTCTCCGCATACTCCATTGTTTTTCCAGTGAGAATTGCTCATGTTCATCCTCATCTTCATTTTGCAGAAGAAAATCAAGCAGGTCATTGTCACTAGGATTCTTTTTACGATACCGTTTTGGTTTTTCAACAGGATGTTCACCACTTCCCATTCCATCACTGTCTGTTTCAACTAAACTACTCCTGTTACTCCCAGACCTTGGGCTATCATCAGTACCATTCTGCTCCTCTATGGCTCTAAGTCTATGTGCAAGCTTGTTTCCTCTTCTTCCACTGTTTCGTAAAGGACCAAACCGATTAAAGTCTCCCTCTGGGGTCGAATCACCACTAGGTGCTGGACTGTCCAAATTCACTGCCTTTACTTTCTCAACACTGAAGTTTGTGTCACCAAGCTTCTTGTTTGTGAAGCCGCTACGGATATCACCAAGGAGTTTGTCAACTATAGACCCATCCTCCTCTAAGCTGTTCCCAGATGTTGGACGCTTCTTCTCTTGAGTACCAACGTCGCCTGAAAGAGAAAATATAACATTTTAATAAAACTGAATTATAGTAAGTGGCAATAAAACTGTAAGACTTTATGTGTTGAGTACTACTTTTTAAGTTTTACAAAAAATCATTTGTAGAATAATATTTATGAAAATTAACTTTAATTTCAACATGAGACAGATCAATAATGTTGTCATACCAGAGTGGCGTTTTTTCTCTTTCTCTTCTTGTAGCTTCTTTCGTTGTTCTGCCTTCTCTTCTGCAACTCTTCTTTGTTTATTCTCCTGTAACATTAAGTGAAATCATTGCTTGATCATTCTGACACACAATATGGACACTCTAGTGTTTATAATAGAAATTTTTCTGAAATAATTTATGCTCCGTAACTAGATCTTCTATGTCTTGATTTAAGTACCTGTCTTATGCTAGATTATTCCCATGGATAAATCATGTCTGGAGCAGGACGTTTATTGTATTGTGTTGCCTCTCGCGAAGAATTAAAATCATTTTTGATGCAATATGAACAAGATTGACTTATATGATTGGTTTATTTTTATACAAAGTATATTTAAAAGTTTACCTCAATTGCCTTTTTGAACTTCAGGCAGAATGTTTGGAGAGTCTTCAGGCATTCCTCCAGTTTGAAAGTTGATGTGTCCTCACAGAAAAAGTCAGCAAGTTCCACTCTAAGTTCTTCCATTTCTTTCAGGTCCTCTTGGAGTTCATGCATTTCACTTTTGGCATACTGGAAAAAGTGAAAGATATTAATTAGTATGTCTTTGTGTTTCACAAAATTATGTTGCGAAAGTTTCGGATATTGTCTTAAATATATTAAAGATATTAGTTTTAAATGCGCTGTGGTTATTACTCTTATCGAAATCGGGCTTACATACTTTGATTCATTTGCCTTTTTATAATCAACTGAGGGGGGTCATCAAGAGCATTATTTTTCATTTTTCAAACTAGAAAAGGATTCTGTATCATTAAGGTTTACTTTTAAAGTACCCATTTTTGCGATATTTGTGGATTTAAATCTTCGGAGTCAATGAATTGAGATGAAACAGCGGCGATGATGTCACAGATATACTCCAATCATAATGTTAGTATAAACCGTGTCTTACTTTTAAAAAGTCTTGCATTTGAGCCTGGAATTCTGGACTGGTTTGGTTCAACTGATCAGCAATAGATGTCACCTTTGTATCAAGACCACTAATCTCAGTTGTCAGGTTATCAAAGGAAACACTGAAATGCGCAATATAATACAATAATATAGTATGGTTTAATTTTTTTCCAAAACAGTACTTACATGTTTAGTATTTAACTTTCTTACAAGTTGATACGATGTTCAACCAATACATACGTACTTTCATAATTTACAAAAGAATGATTCATTACAACAAAAAAGATGGCGGTTCACCATTTACATAATGAAAAATGATCCGTCCTCTTTAGGTTGATCTGTGAACTTAACTTAAAGATTAGCATCACGTGTGTACCTCACATTGAATATAACCAAAAACCCAGACACCATATTTCTAAATCAACTTCACTTTGATATACAGAATTTTATATTCGCCTTTCTACTCTCCAGCAAGAATAAACGTTTAATTTACTCGCAATATTTTCAACCCCATTTCACATGTTCAAATAAAGTGCAATTTGATTGTATTTTACTTACAGTGAAGCGTCCTTCAGATATTTCAGTGGCTGACTGAAGTCTAACAATTTTGGATTCTTCTTTTCAGCTTGCTGAAAAAGAAATTATGATATTTTTTATTTAAAGTTTAAAGAGTTCTATCCAAGATTGTAATTTGCATATTTGGGAAATGAGGTAAAAAGGTATTAGAAAGAAATACCGTATGTAATAATATAATATGATGCGATCTTTGGAGAAATATCTTTCAGTTTATACTGTTATTCTATGCTCAAAGTCCTTTTATATTGGGGTTATTGCTCAACCAACTTCATCTTCAAACTCTATCTACACAGGGGCGCTGTTATATTGAATATTATTTTGAATGAAAACGTTGTTAAGTTATATTTTCACACCTGAGAATAAATAAACCAATTAATTTTTGTTTATAAAACTTTTACCTAAAACCTTACAGATTTATTCATATCATCTCGTGATTGACATAATTACATGCAGTTTTTGACAGTTATTTTGCATGTAGACTTTTGAAATCACACCTGCTTGAGTTAATTGATGAAACATAAACAAAACTCACAATGATACTGTCATTGGCTTCACACGATGTGAACAGTGATTTTCAAAAGGCTTTTGATCGGCTATGAATTATACTAAATAAAACCTACCATTACAACGTAATGCATCAGCGTCATTCTTGGCTTATTCGCTCTGGTTTCTGTGAGTCTTAGCAGAGAGGCAAGTTTGAAGCCAGCAGCGTCGCCGGAATAACCACCAGCGTTTAGAAAATTCCCAGCTATTAAGACCAGATAGAGAATCTCCTGTAGCATCGTACTGTCCTTTATATCTAAACATATGAAAGGCATTTTGAATTAAATTACTCATGTTTTTACATTTTGTTTGCTGTGACATGAAATGTCCTCAATTAAATAAGAAACATCTATACAGGAATTGTTTATGTATTTCATCAAATTGTCCACTCATATCTTATTACCTCATATCAACTGATGAATTCTTTCGGCAAGTGTCTGAAAGTGGTTTTCGGTAAGTGTCTGAAAGTGGTTTTGTTGCATCTGCAACACATTGACCTTCAGAATGTGCATTTAAAGGTAAGATGATACAATATTATTACCTTTAGCAGTAAGAATGATAGCATCCATGGATGGCTTGATCCAATCCATATTCATTTTGAACTCTTCTTTAATCAACATCGCCTCTATACGTAATTTGTAACTGAAATCATGGAATTATAAAATCATTAAAAAAAGTATTGCATTGGTGTATTAATAATGGAATAAGGCATCACATTGAGTAAAATTTACCACCTTGTAGACTATTGCAAATCATGGTTACAAAAGTAACAATTGGTCACAAACTGTAACAGTTAGCTATCGAAACCAAATAAAAAACCGAACGTCAACCACGAAAAACATTGGCTAAACAAGATGTGCACACCATTTTAGAAGTGCTATAATAACTCTCAACTAAACAAATAAAGAACAATTAAAAGAAATGAACTAATTTGGAAAGACTTCATGGCTCATTTTCCCCTATCAATGAAACACTTACTTGGGAATATTCAGCAGTTGAAGGAAGAACTTTTCAGCACTTCCAAGTTTGTTTTTATCACCATCGAACGATCTTAACATCTCCACCTTGAAAATATAAAAACGATTGTCGATAAAGTTACAATATTATTATAGCTTTATTATATTTTGATATCATTTATGGTGGCTGTATTTTCAATATGGTTTTTGGAGGCTAAAGATAGATTAAAGTAAGTGTTAATTCTGACTTATCTGCTTATAATATGATTGTAATTGTGTCTCATAAGCCTTTGGAGGCTGGCCGTATAATTACGGGTGACACTGTAATAAATAAATAAATAAATAAATAAATATACATGTGTGTAGGGTATGCGTTTTACTTGTTTTGTATTTTGTTGTTGCTCTCAAGTTAGGACGATTGTTCAAGTCGATGTTGCATCGTGGCTTACATTCGAATGTCACATTTCTTTTTATTTGTTTGAACTACAATTATCTCACACAGACACCATATGGTATATATGTGTGTTAGAATAATGTAACTCGATATCTGAAGGTAGAATCAAATCCCCGTATTGTAGGTGATTTGAATGTAAAAAGATTTGGGTAGATTGGGTCAGTCCTTGTCTCAATCAATGTATACATGCAGCATTAGCAATCATTCAAATCATACCTCATCTGGTTCTGGCAACACTTTCAATAACCCTCGAAGTTTTTCAGCACCAAATTGTTCGCTCTGGCTGTTCACTAAAAGTTGAATGATTTCTTCGTTGGATAAACGAAACTGACGAAGGAAGATATTGACGTTCAGATTCTTTTTACCATCCAGGAGATTGATCTGCAAAATAAGTTGATGTGAATGAATGTCATGTTGGTGTTTGAGTAAAGGGTCAAACGTATGGCCAAAATGTGGAGTTAAACAAGGATGCGCGTTATGTCCTATTTCATTTATAAAATTAATTAAATGCAATTCTTTAAAACATACAACAATCAGCTACTGCATGCAAAAAGATTATCAAATCATTATTATTGAATTATCTATCAAAATAATGAAGTTTTAGACTACACTGATGTTTTATTTAAAATTATAACTCTCTAATAGGTAGGAGTGGAAAGTATTAACAAACTTTCTACATTATTCACCAATGGGAAACTAATAGAAATATGTTTTATAATCATTCCTATTTGCATTGATAGGAACGATATAAAATGTATATTTAAAAGACAAAAAAAGTGAAAAGAAAGTGACAAATGTCCAGTGAGGAAATGTCTAATCATTGACAGAAATTGACATAATGTCCTATCATTGAAAAAATGACGTATTGGATAATCATTGATTGAAAGAAACAAGATGTCTAATAACAGAAAGTGACAAATGTCTAGTCATTAATAGAGGATGACAAAATGGCAAATCATTGAAAGAAAGTGTCGAAACATCTGATCATTGATGAACAATGATGAAATGTCGATTCGTTGAAAGAAAATTAAAACATTTCTAATTATTGATAGAAAGTGTCGAACTGTTTTATTAATGACAGAAAACGACGCGATGTCTAATCATTGAAAGAAAATGACAACATGTCAAATCATTATTAGAAAATGACGTAATGTCAAATCATTGACAGAAAATGACGTAATGTCAAATCATTATTAGAAAATACGTAATGTCTAATCATTGATAGAAAATGACAACATGTCAAATCATTATTAGAAAATGACGTAATGTCAAATCATTGACAGAAAATGACGTAATGTCAAATCATTATTAGAAAATACGTAATGTCTAATCATTGATAGAAAATCACAACATGTCAAATCATTGTTAGAAAATGACGTAATGTCTAATCATTGATAGAAAATGACGTAATGTCAAATCATTATTAGAAAATACGTAATGTCTAATCATTGATAGAAAATGACAACATGTCAAATCATTATTAGAAAATGACGTAATGTCAAATCATTGACAGAAAATGACGTAATGTCAAATCATTATTAGAAAATACGTAATGTCTAATCATTGATAGAAAATGACAACATGTCAAATCATTATTAGAAAATGACGTAATGTCAAATCATTGACAGAAAATGACGTAATGTCAAATCATTATTAGAAAATACGTAATGTCTAATCATTGATAGAAAATCACAACATGTCAAATCATTGTTAGAAAATGACGTAATGTCTAATCATTGATAGAAAATCACAAAATGTCTCATCATTGATAACGAAGAAATATCTAATAACTGAAAGAAAGTGACAAATATCGAGTCATTGATAGGAAGTGAAAACATGTCAAACCACTCATGTAGAAGTGACAAGTATTTTTTATTAGACATACACTCCACTCCAAATGTTTGGTTACACTAACTCTCACATTGGACCACGTATTTAAAAATGTTTACCTTTGGTTATTTAATGATTTATTGTTATTGAGGGAACTTAGATTTTAAATATAAAAGGCTTTATCAGACTACACAATGTACAGCCAGGGTTACCATACTATGCAAGGGGAGTGTATATTCACTGAAAGAAATGTAACGAGATGTTTAATCATTGAGAATGAGTGACTATTGCATTCATAAAAAAAGAACGTAAAAGGAATCACACTTAACAAATATTTACATTCATCAGGTTCACTGGGTTGTGGCACCCAAGAACTAAATATTTAACAATAGTTAAAACAATACATATGAAGTGGAGTGGAGAACAAACATCTAAAGAAATCTCCTACAAACAACTCTAGCCATATTACCATAGAAAGTGGGCTCATCTTAATCGTTGGTGGTTTTATATAGGGTATCCGACGACGCACGACCTGATGTCACATTGGAACATTAACATAACTGTTGTACATGCATATATTAATTCATGATTTGGTTAAAATACTACTACTGGGTGAGCCAAAACAAAATCAACATATTTCATTCATTCTGGTACTCGTACATCCATTTTAATGGATTTTGGACTATGGAGTTTGATGACATTTTTATTAGAGATGAAGGATTCGATTTCACAATCTTTACCATAATTGCTAAGATATATATATTAAGGCAAACATGGAAGTGTTTTGGCCCACCCTGTACATGTTTATATTGTGAAATTCGGTAAAACACAACCTTAAGCATTGCTGTGTCAGTTAGTTGTATTATAAAAGCATCACCACATATCATTGATTATTTTTTCATGTTGATGTGAATATCTTACCGTTGAATCTTTCTTTCTTTTCTCCGTATTGCCATCGGTTTTGTCAACGGCTTTACTTTCACTGTTCTGTTGTTTCAGACTGAACAGATTCTCCATTGAGTCATAGTCAACTGTATACCCATTAAACCTCTCACCAGCCTTTGTCCACACATTATTTTTTCCCAGTACTTTATTCACTGGGATTTTATTCCACTGCAATTTTCTCATTTTTGACTTTGGGCATGGTATTTTTTGCTGAGGTAGTTTTACCTGAGGCTTTGTGTTTGTCATGGATGGAGGGGGTGGAGCTCCACCAAACGGTGGTGGTGGTGGTGGGGCCCCAAATGGAGGAGGGGGAGGAGGAGCGCCCCCTGGAGTGGGAGGAGGAGGCGGAGGCACCGGAGCCCCGGATAAGGTAGGAGGTGGCGGGGCGGGTGGTGGTGGTTGTGACGTCACTGTTGACGAGCCCTCATTTGACTTTGATTCCGATTTGTGGCAATTACACGTGCAAGCCCCCTTAAACTCTTTAATTGCTTTTTCCAGTTTTTTCTCTCCAAGGATTTTCACTGTTTCTGCATCCTCTTTCTTCTCCATTAAGGTTGCTCCATAGACTAGCTTTTCTATAGTGTCCCATATGACGGTACTAATGGGGTCTGTGAAGTCGGTCTGCAGTAGGTGTTGTAAAATGGCAAGGAACTGGGCTTCATGTTGACCTTCACATACCTTCAAAAATAAAATGTCATGAACATGAATGATACAGAATGAATCTTTCCAATGGGATTGATTTTGCAGATTAACACGTCTTAACACGTTAACGTTAACATCTTAACACGTTACGTTTCGGACTTACTTATATAGGCAATGCAAATAACCGATAAAGGGATTAACACATTTGACACAAACCCAAGCTTATTTTTCATGAACTGGCAGATACATTGTTTATTGTTATGGCTTCATTTTTTGAAAAGTAGGAATATTTGCAATGACGATCCCCGTCTCTTGTGCGAAAAGGTTATTATACTTAAAAGATGCTCCTTGCCTTGCCTCGTGAATGTTTATAAATGACAATTCTGCCTCCAGTAAATGCATTCGGTAAACATCTCATAAAAAATTAATAAGTACATGATCTATGCTTCAAAAAAGTAAGTCAATTTCTAGGGACTCAACATAAACGCACTATTAAAATATGTGAAGGATAACCTAGAGGAGTTTGTAAAATCCAGACGAATGGCGTTAGTAGACAATTTCGAATTAAATATACTGTCTGTTGAGCCATGCATGGTCTATCGGGTTGATGGCCGAAATGTGTCTTTCAAGTGTCGCCAGTTTTTTGTTTTTGGTCTCGATATTGAATTGCATAAGATGGCTTAATAACAATTTAATAGACACATTACTAAATTCATTGACTTATCTTCAGTTTCAAAAATGCTTGAGCTTGATAATTCTTCTATGACGATTGCTCTTCTACCTCTGACTTCCTTAAGGTGTTGAACGTGTTGACCTAACATGTTGTCTTTCTTAAGATCATTTGTCTACTGCTAGATCCAGATCATTTCTACTAACCTGCTTGTATATGGCATTGAAGACATCGATATGAGAACTAAGGTCAACACCAATAGGCCCAGGTAGTTGTTCATCATCGTTCGCCTTTTCTTCCTCAAACACATCAAGTTGAACCAGAAGATCAGCTTTACCTTCATCTTCTGTAGAATCATCCCTAGAAATAAAGCCCTCGATCATTATATGCGTTGCAGTACTAATACAATGCTTATGGATACCTTAGTAGTTGCTCTTGGTAATCCATGTCCATTGTAATCATTGCAGAAATGTAGTTTCAAGTATCGGCGATAGAAGCAGCGACCGTCATCGTTCTATTTTTTGAGTTTCTGGCAGTTTAAAGGAAACCTCATTAGGAATAACTTTGCTGTTCCGATTACGATAATTGATCCTTTCCGGTGTCATCCAACTTCCGATGTCAACATAATGGATTTTCAAGATATGTAAATCACTTTTAAAGCGTTAAGTATGGCTTTCTAAACGAGCGGATACAATCAGGAAAGAGAATGGGCTATACTTCGTTATTTAGCTAAATAGCTATCCTTCGATCTTGAAAATACGTTCAGCAAAAATGGGTTCCTTAAATACAAGTTGTTCCTTGTGTGTTCAGACAACCAACATTGCTTCCTGCGTCCATGTCCTTTACGACCTCTCTACTGAGAGAGGTCTCGCAAGGAACATGTATCTCATTAAACTAGGAATCATTTTGAGCAGTCACACCAGCATGGGAAGTAAAACCAATTTCTATACCTCTGTCCAAAGGCCTCCATATATTATCTCCAACCAGGCCACAGCACAAAATGTTATTTGCATTAATATAGATGCCAATTCTACAAGAATGAGGAAATGCACCAGAAATGTATTAATTTGTGTGAATGAGTTTTGGCATTACATCAGTTTTGTTCGTCTACTCTATAAGATAAAATTATGGAGGTCGGGTTTTGAAAATACAGAATAAAGTAAAAGGGGATCAATAAGGATTGGCGGAGTAAACAGTCATGGAGCGATGTCGAAATAAAAGATGGTTCATTTCAATTTTAGCAAAAATGTGGTGACACGATGTCATTAAAAAACAAATGATTCGGGCAATTTAGATAGGAAAGCGGATTGTTTTTCAAAGCATGCCAAATACGTCAAGAATTTAGTTTACAAAGTGAGACGAATATGTTTACGTAAGTATGATTTATATGGATCCAGTTATTGTTTATCATTGCACAAGGACACTGACGAAATGTGGTCATAAGGTAAAAGAGGAAAATACAATAATACTTAGATGTTTCAAAAACCAAATATCATGATAATATTAACACCATTGCAAATCATCTTCCAGTCGTAAGAAATGATATGTGACGAGCCAAGGTGTCATGTATAACGATGAAGTTTAAAACGTTTGACAACCCCGATTCCATTGTATAGACTACCAAAGTCTGTTTACGTTTGGAAAATAAATGTTTTTTCTCAATAAAATTTTGACAATTTTGATGTTTTTTTCTAAATCGCCAATCCGATTAATAGGCTTTAACACGTGCTTGAAATAGAGAAACAGAGAAATCCACTTTTGGAGGGGTACTGTAGATCTGATTGAAAAATATTCAAAACATCTCAGTCTGATTATATAATTAATGGCATTTCAATGAGGATTTTTAAAATCCTCATGATGTTATTATCATGTATCGACATATTAACATTTAAGATAAGTGAGATCAATTTGAGGTCGAGGGAACAGCGATTTCAAGACAAATGCATCAGACATGTTAAATTCGTAATGTGAATTAGTACAATCACCGTCTCCAGGCTAGGTTGGACCACATCTAAGTACTAAGTCATAAACCTTATTATCATCCCTTCTCCATCAATGAGTACAACAGGTAGTTCAAAAGTTATTGGGTACGTGATTATTTATATTGTTCATAAAAATAATTAAATAAGAACATGACATGTTTGGAATAATATTTTCTAAAAATACGTAATCAACTTGTGTTTATGTTTAATGTACATGTTCATACCAGCTGGTACAAATATAACTCGAACTGAAGTAGTGTCAACAGTCCGATTGGGGCGTCCTGATGGTCATAGCAACCCCGGGTTGGAGTATGAGGGTTAAGTGAGACTTTTTGAACTTGTATATATCAAGCCTACCTTGAAAACTTTTAATGTTTGTAGTGTGAAACACTTTGCGTGCTAATACATAATTGGGATGTATAGCATAAAACTGTCAAAGAGAGCACGAAGTGCTTCACATAAATAAAATTAAACAATATTTTACGGTTTACGACACTCGAAGACCCCTTAAGCTCGTTGCAAAATATGGTAAATAGAAAACTCTTCTATGGAATAAATTTGAAAAGTACAAGAGTCGAACATCCTAAAAATGCAAAAACAATCAAAATGGACATACTTTAAACACTCATTTTCCACAAAATATATTATTTAGCTCCGTATATAACTCATGCATCAGGAATAAATGTACTATAAGGTGGTATGAACAAAGTTACAAGGGGGGGGGGGGGTAAAATGCGCTCGTATGAACAACAATGTGAATGCTTCAAATGGGCTATTCTGGGGTCACGATCATTTCCTTGGTCAAACAAGACCCTTACCAACTTTTGGAAAAAGCCTGAACTGCTAAGTATATTGCTTTAATTAACCCTTGTGACAACAACATCACTATTGTATTTTAGGTTCAATTCAAATGTATATAAATAAACTAATGGTAATATTTTCAACAAACATCATTTTGAACGGGAACTTTTAATCAAATATACTTATGTTTCATATTTGTAAAATGGCTCTAATAATAGAGACTGACGAAAACGTTACGAATGGTGTGATATTACAGAGATTATACGGATAACATAACCAGGAAAATCCAATGAAACACAGGGTCTTACAAGGCCTACTGGTAGCCACTGGTATTACGACAAGGAATCAAATCCTAATCAAGGGCCTTTGAATTCCTGTGTTACGAAAGAATCTTATTTGAAGACAACGACGCTATGTTTTATATGCATAATAAAAACAGACACATACACAAACAGATAAACAAAGAAACGAACAAAGAAACAGACAAACGATACGAACTAACGAACAAACAAACAAAAACAAATTAATGAACAATATTTTGATTAAATTCCTTGGGTTAAATGGTTTCAATTGACAGAACGAAAACTGGGGACGAATTTTACAAATGCGAAAAATCCTTTACAACAAATTGGTGAATTGCATCCAAACAATCATTGAACATGAATGCCACGACAAACACTCAACTCAAAGACAGAAATTCCAAATGTTCTTCCAACGTCTACTTTGATCTTTTTATATTGTCAAATCATGAATGTATACACCTTATAAGTAGCCGGGTTGAAATTCTGATGCAGGGAAGTAATAGTGTCAAAACGACGATCGAGGTCATTGATCGACAATGAGTACCCAAAGACTAATACTTATGTCTTATTTGTGTGTTGTTTTCTGGTCACCATGGACTTCACTGGTTTTCATTTGGTCAAGGTCCTTCAGGTGTTATTTGTCTCCTTCCTTGAACTTTCATCAGAAGAGGGTTTACATAATTTATTAACCGAATTGCTTAAGAAGAACAAGTTTTTGGTGGAACCAGTTCGACAGCATACCAACATAAAAATTATGTAATGATTCATTTTAATGTAATTTAAGTATATCAACATATTTTTGAAGAAACTCTAGAATAATTTGCAAGGAAAACTATTGGAACAGCCATACTTCAAATGTGGTGAGAAGTTTTTCTTGAATGGCTCTAGAAAACTCCAAACAATGAAATGGTCAAAGAGCAATAAAACCCGAACAAACAAATAAATAGTTCTTAGGAACATGAATGTGCTGTGCATTTAACATTGTATCCTAACTTATATTAAATTATATTTAAATATATTAATGTACTATTCAAAAGCGTTGAAAGTCTATATGTTTTATTTACGAGGTAGCACCAGGTATAAATTAATAATGTAAAAGTTAGAAAAGCTATCAAAAGAACAACTTTAAAACATACCTTAATCTTTGTATGATTTCCAATAGTTTAAGCCCTGAAAGTAGAAAAATAATCATACGTTTAGTTGTTAGTTGTATGTAATTAAAGCCATATGTTCATAAAATATGTCAGCCATTTCAATTTTTCAATACCTTTTGATTTATACATAATATAATGCAAAGGTGAATGGATAGTAGAAGAATTTGTTCTTTGCTAAATGTGAACGTGATTTGTACGATATTGTGGTGATGTTGCTAACTCTAAATGTTCTCTAAATGAACATTACATCACATTTGTCCACATCCTCCGAACACAGGCCTCCAGAACTCGTACCTCCTTCTTCCAGAAGAAGGAAGGAACTTTGTGGATGATGTCTGGAACCCTGCGTTCGGAGGATGATTCGTCCACACATATGAGTCTTTGTATGATATGATATAAAATGATATGATGCAATATGGCATGATTCCGTAACCAAACAAAAAAACGGATCATATTATGGACACACTGATATTCATAATTCAAGGATTTTGAACAGTTGAGTTGTTATCTCGTTGGTAAGGGAATCGAAAACATTAATGGTAGTACATTTCTTGGAGCTCTAATGAATTAAAACAATTGGCAACATATTCTACTATAATACAATAAAATAATATATGATGAAGTAGGCTTTATAAGGGAAGGGCGTGGGAACTTCAGTAGAAACACTTGACTCCGTCATAAATGATATACGTACAAAATACCCCCTTGTCTGATACCTATCAGAAGACTTTTTGAAGTGGTTAAAAGAAATACAATAGCGTTTTCTCCATATCTACGTAGTGCACATTCCATTATAAAGTAATTGCACTAGTTATTTGAAGATGGCTTGGACTGACCAGCTGTATTTAAAGTATTTTATTTCATCAATGAGAATCAAAAGCGTTAGTTATGTCAAAACTATATAATAGCATGGCCTTGTATAACATTCTATCAATGTTTCCATATCATTCACCCCAGCTAGCAAGCATATTATGACTTTTATCGTACATCAAATTAGTATACAGATAACATAGTTCCAAAATAGTATATGATAGATTAATTTTATCCCGCTAATCACATGCAGCTCTGGATGTAAGCATCAATACTGGTATGCGATACAAATAACAACAGCATCAGAAGAATTCATTCCAAAATGACTGCCAAAAAGAAATTGGCCACTTTTCTATCTAATAGAGCCCTTTAATGCTAAATGTATGCAATACCGTTCATTTTAGCTGATATACATCTGGTTGTATGTAGTTTAGTCAGTGATTTTTTATTAATTTCATTCTAAAGTGTAGGTTATTAACCCAATTAAAATGACACATATTCGTGAGTGAATTTTGAGGACAATTGGAAATACAGTTGTACGCTGGTGGCGATATTTGATATAAATATTTGTGTCGGTCAATAGGGGTGCATCAATCACTAAAATGCATTGATTTGATTTATAAGAATTATCATATCTCATTTTGCTAATTACTCATCTGGGGATTATCATCTTTGATTGTGTCCAGTGGAAACTTCAGAATAATAGTTAAATATGTGATTTCTCTTTGAAATTGGAATGATGGTGTCTATGCATCAATTTGATAACCAATTTTAGGCTTCTGCTTACAATTGATTGTATACTGGTTTGATTTGTGGTATGCATGTCTAGGGGTATATTACAACGATTACAAAATGGAATTTGATTGACTCAATTCAATTTGATGATACTGTATTCAAGTTATGTCCCAATACTGATGTCACTTCTCAAGACTGTATTTTGATTCACCAGGCTCACTCGCTTATCTTTTGTGATAGATTGTCTTCAAGAAGGAAGAAGAGAAAGGTTGTGCAAACAAAGTTGATAGCTGCCTTATGACATTATGAGATTTACAGCCCTTACTCTCCTTTGGATAGCATTAGGTAAAGAGTAGCTCTAATAAAACAGAATGGCCTTATGACATGATTTGATCAGTTGAATCGGGACATAGAAAATCCTGATGGAAGAATGCACGTCACCGACACAATGGACATTTACCCCATAGTTGCATAGTTTTTGGTGTAGACTTACGCACGTAAGATCTGATAAGGCTGAATTGAATGAACGACAGTGAGATGTCAACTGTATAGAGGTAGAACTATAAATCGTTGAAGGTATTAGCTGTCATTTTGTGCAAATGAGATATGCAAAGTCTGAATCAAAACCATTTAATATGTTCTATACTGAAGGTAGTATAGATTGTGCTTCTTGTCAAGATACAGTGACACATTCTGTCTACTTATTTTGGAAATCGTCATTACAACCGTATTATACCCGTGACTGAAACTTAAACTTTAAAATTGATAACTGAGAAACGCTTGGAAATAGCATCATAAGATGCATGCATAGACACTGGCATAGAAACCTCATCAATTTGGAAAGCCTGTCCATGGTGTTAAGACAAATGGTGAAAATATATCCAATCATGTAAAATCGCAAACACGGGTCGACCTTCAAAGATCTTGTAACCAGTCTCTCAGTATAATAGGAAGCCTATGATACTTTACTCATGACAGCTACAGATATTAAATGATAACAATGACAGATGCAAATATCTTCTTTTACAACTTTCAAATTGAATAGTTTTCAATTAAATGTTTTCAAGTTTTGGCTGTTTTGAAGCTTAGGCTGACTGTTGTACAATGCTTGAATATATTTTGAATTAAGATTCTGTCGTACTGTATGTATTCAGTGATCATAATTTGTCTGTATATCATATGTATATGAAACCATGGTATGCTTTACTTTAAGTTCCTGGCCACATTACCTACTTTGAATGTAAAGTCGAGAATGAGAGGGAAGAAGGGAGAGAGGGGAGGAGGGAGGGAGAGGATGAGAGGAAGGGGGAGAATGAGAGAGCTCGACATAAGCCTAAATTAAGAATTGTATATAAAATCGCTTTTAGCACATGTTATGTCAACTCATGCAACTAAAACACACACCATTTCCAGTCATTATGTATTCAATTCACATAAGTATCTTAGTTTAAACAATTTAAATCAGATTTTAAGATTTAACGAATAAATAAAGTATTTTGAAACGTGTGAAAGTACTTTGATTATTTGATCATATACCATGTTCACGTAATTCCACATCCCGTATACCACAATCCTTGTCCTTGAACAGAACAACGACTTTCATGTTTCAAGGTGCAAATATGTGATATTAGTCAAATTAGCAAAAAATATAGAAAATGTACTGTAAATGTGATGAACATCAATAGAGTTAGAGACAAGTTGTAAGTTTCGAAAAATTGTTACAAAATGCACCATCTTTTTGATCTCACACTCAATGTGATGTCTATTTTCTAAAACGTCTAGCGGTTCTTACTTTCGGGATCTTCCTTCGATTATCTTCCATTATTTCTGAATTTGATCAAAGAACTAATTTACACATGAAATTCAGACTGCGAAACATTGATATACATTTTAAAATATATCTATCAACAGTTTACAATCTCGTTCCCTTCAAATTCTTCTAATAATGACAATGTTTCGTCAGTGGGATGACTGTGCGATGTAGAGGTACACGAGGGTTGGCATCATCAACACAGGTTTAGTAAAGACGACGTTTGATGTTTGGGAAACGATTAACAGCTAGGAGGCCGACGGCACAAAAGCGGTGATTATTAAAAAAAAGTTAGTGGTCTTCCGCGGGACTATATTCTATGACGGCATTCTCAAGAAAAAATTCAGTGTATACATGAAAAGTTGAACGGCTCATGCGCATTCATATTCTTGCATATCTTTATAATATTTGGTGGGATGGTAGATTATATCTAGATCTATAGAATGAATTAAATTAAATCACACATTGAAAAGAATTGGAGGTAGAAAAATCGCGCCGGCCGATAAACTTTTTTTGGACAAAAAAAATCTTATTTTTTCAACATTTTAGCAAAAACTGTAACGATCATACAGTTTTGGATATTTTATCCTCAAACTTTCTGAATATTGACTCCCTTATGTGGTTTAATTTATGTGAAAAAATTGGGAATTTATGATCATTTCAATGTAGTTTCCGTAAATCTCAAAGTTAGGTGAGTCACTTTTTAAAAATGGCCATTTTTGAGCTTATGGCGTCATCAAAGACGTTCTCGGATAACGTAAACAAGGTATATAATTTGCTTTTCTTTTACAAGTGCGTTCTCAATGAGTCTTAAATTTTCACAATTTGTAGTATTTATTCTTGGGTTTCAAATTATGCAATTTTGAGAAATAAATGTAATGAGGATATACCAAGATATTATCATTTAAATCAGGAAAGCAAATTGACTGCATTCCCTACGACGCGATTCGCTTTCATTTTTACGCCATTTTTGGTCGCGTACCTCTTTGGCTTAAAACTGTAACAATTTGTCAATTTTTTATAGATCAATCTCAAATTTCACGTGTGGTATCTTCAATATTTTTTAAAATATTGTAGCGATTTTTTTCTAAAATAAAACGTTAATACAACTAATAAAACTTTATTCGAAAATGATGTTTAAAATTTGTGAAAAATATTGATTCCGTTTTGACGTCGGATTTGTCATTTAAAGTAAAACTTGGTGTCATCACTTTCAACATATGTTTCTCATTATAAAACTGAAGAATGTAGACTTAAATGTATTCACAGCTGAAGATTATATTCTTATTTGGAAAAGTATTTACTTTTGTGATGTTTGATGCTGTATTTTTAGAACAATTGACCATGACATATTGACCTCTTAAACTATACGGAGTGAGAAACCAATATTGTGCCGTTTTATACAAAACAAACAAAGCCCTGTCAAAGTACTTGTCTATTTTGCAATTTAAACAGTATTAATTTGAATAATTTTCTTAATCTAAAACTATTTAATTTAAGAAAAATGGTTTTAATTGTCATGAGAGCCGTTAGAATATAAATAATCAATGACAGGTTCATTGACTTACCCTGTACGTACCCGGAAGTGGAAGGGCAACTAACGTGAGTGCAATTTTGTGGATTTTTGTTTGTTCCGGTTCTCGAAAGAAAAAAGAAAATAT